GGGGGTGGGGGGTGTCACACCCATGTAAGACTATGGCAGTAAATGGTGAGAGAAGTGAGCCTTTGGATACACTGACCTTATTGCTTTTATTGACTTATAGGAACAAAGGTTGAAGCTGAAAGGCTCCTACTGAAGGAACGCTGGGATTTCTTGTGCCAACTGGAGATGGTAGGGGAGGAGGGAGCCTTTGTGATTGGGCAGGAGGAGGTGATAACTGAAGAAGAGCTGCTTACCACACTTAAGGTCAGACTGAGAAAATGAAGCTGGGAGGTGAAAGGTGTGTGTGGGGTGGTGGTGAAGACTTTTAATAAATACTGCCTAGACAAATGGGGGAGGGGAGGGTTGATAAATCCAAATCCGCTTCCTTGAGCACAAGGAGCATCCTCAAGGCTCTTGTGATTGCTTCCAGGTACTGTGCATGCCTCCTGAGGAGTTCAGGGAGTTTAAAGACCAAGCTGGCTGGGAAGATGCTAACAGGGACGAGGATGGCTGCCTCCCCGTCACAGATATACCCAAGTTCAGAGCATCATGGAGGCAGCTCCTTCGGGACAGTGTTCTGTTGACCCTGGAAACCTATGCTACAGACTTACAAACTGATCAAGATTTGCTCGCCAATAAGGAGGTGCACGCCAAACTCAGCTGGAGGGAACAGCAAGCTCTCCAGGTCCGCTACGGTCAGAAGATAATCTTACATCACCTGTTGGAACTGACAAGATAGTGGACTGCCGGACTGAAGAGCTCTATTGTAAGCGGGTAGTCACTGGTGCCTTCAAAGGATTTGTATCTTGCTGTTCTGACTAAATGCCCAAAGAAAAAGTCACAAGGGGTCGTGCTGGGACTGAGATGAAGTGACATGCTTGAAGACAGGGTCTGCAGACTTGGGAACTAAGAACAGACAGTTCAGGCTATTTTGCAGGCATGATAGTAACAGGCCTCCTCATTATATTCTAGGGTTCAAAGACAGGGACTTTGGCCTTAAATCTTCCATTTCCTGTTAAAGGACTCAGCTGGTGGAGACTAAGCACTCAGCAGTTGCTCTAACCCCACCCCGAACAGCAGCCAGACATTTGCTCCCCGGGATACAAATCACCCTCTTCAAAGAAAGCATGACAACCCAAAGACATTCTCAGCTATTTCAAACTTCTGTTGTCCTTTTCTTAAAAGTTGCTGGTCTTCATTCAGGGCACAGAAAACTAAGTGGGAAGTTTTAAACAACCCACTCAATGGCTTTTAGGGTAAAAGATTTTGAAAACAATGGGGTTTTTTGGGGGTAATTCTGTTTAAACCAGCAATTGCTCTGCCAGTCCACTGTTGAAACCAGAAGAAATACCGAAGGACACAAGCCTTTCCTTGTCCACTTGATCACACCACATTAGCGGGAAGGAGGTAATTCACTCAGTGAACAGTTGCTGTCTGCCCGGAAAGGTCAGGGGCCTGGTTTTCATGTTGACAGCCTGCACACACCATGGGCTAAAAGCCCATGAACTAGAAAGGCTACAAAACACAGGAAGGGACCAAGACGTTTACAAAACATCCAAAATTCTTACAGAAGAGGGTGGTATTTTTCCTTTTCCCTTTTTGCTGGAGGTGGGGGCTGCTGGCGCAGTAGGTTTATAAGATTCTTAAGAATCGGGAAAGGAAAGCTTTAAGGCATGACTTGGTTGGTTTCCATTTGTTTAAAAAGAACTGTCTCCTAGGGTCCGCCCAAAGGTCATCTGTCCTCTCCAGCAAAAATAAGCTGCTACGACATCGTTCGTTCTCCCTGCAGTCAGCCTCGGGTTGGTGGGTTGGGGGAATGGGGCAACTACAGATCTCAATCTTGAGCCCTCGCCGCATTCCCCGAAATAACAAATACCACACACCCCCATTTTGCATCACTCCATCTCCACGGTGTGTTGTTCACACTAAAAAAGTGAAGTTATGTAAGGAGCAAACTGGAACGCCAGGAATGTGGGAAGTCATGGATGGAGCCATGCCCCTCTCTCTTAAACAGAGTAGGAACCGCTTTATCCACTTGCCTTCGATGCATTTCACACAAACTCAAAGAATTTCCAGACAAAGATTTTCTCTTTCATATATTTACACAAGTTCAAAATGATATTCACAGCATCTTCTAAATTTTGGCCAAGAGTCAAAAAATGCATTTAAACTTTGGAACGTGCCCACATACACAGGAGGCTGACCCCAACAGTAGTGGGGGCAGATACCCGAGAACCAAAGGGCTGGGGAAGTCAGGAGGTGCCAAAAGGTTGAGTCAGTTTATGAAGTTAGTGCCATATGGGACCTCCAGGCTGACAGGGTTCACAACGAGATGCAGTTGCGTCTAACTGGCCCCCGTCCCTTCCATTACTTGCTGAGCTTGTTTCTGTCCCATACAGCACTGTGCGACCGATTGAAATAACCTGAAGAACAGAGACGGTTACAATTTATTTGTGAGAAAATTTCAGGGCAGGCACTATCTATCTCTTACTTGCTTTAACTACTATCGCCTCTACCCCCCACCCAAGCTGAAGATGTCAATGAGTCTTTTTTTTTTTTTCCCCCCCCCCCCATCCTTAGGTAATAACTTTTAACTCACTTTTCAATTTCTGGGGCACAGTGTACAAATTCATGGTTCCAGAACTTAAACGCTGGATTTTTAATCAGCTCAATGAAGGTAATAAGCAGACCCCAAGGATGTGGCCTATTTACAATCAACCGTTCCAAGAGAACCCTGAAGGAGGAGAGAAGAGTCAATGAACAAAGAAACACACCAACACAAGACCACGCTACTGTCTACTTCCTAAGTCTGAAACCAGATGATCCATCACCCGTAAGAGTTGTTGGCTTTACTAAGAACACTGCAGGTGGATCCTGGAATTACAATTTTTTACTTATTGAGCCAGTGAAGCAAGCTGACACTTGACCTTACTAATCACAGCCAGGGCGGGTCTTCTCTTGCACCTCAGCACTCCTCCACCAGACATGTCGTAAATGCACAGAATTGCTTGGAAGACTTTTTAAAAACTACGATAAATACAGCATTGCATAACGAGATAGCTGCTAAGTGAGGAGAGGAGTATGTGAAACAGCCTGGTTGAGAATAAAGCTCATAAAAGACAAACAGTATGTACACAACACACTTGCCATTGATTCAATGTAGATTCAGCAACTTTATAGGACAGGGTGGCGCTGCCCCTATAGATTTCCCAGAGTGTAACTATTCCCTGAGTTGAAAGCCTTGTCTTTCTCCTGCAGGGTGGCTAGAGTAGTTTGAACTGCTTTTCTTAAGAACCGCAGTGCAACACATCACCATTAGGGCACAATACACAACGTGATCACTTAAAATAAGTACACAAAGTGAGTACAAACAACTTCTAACACGGCTCACTGCTAGTTTAAGAGAAATTGATAACATTTTCCTGAATGATAATTACTCTCATTGGTTTACTTCAATATTTATCCTAAGGAATAATGGTTAAACACAAATAGGTTCACTGCAACTTTGCATCCAATAATAAAATGCTAAACTTACACCTATAAGGAATGCCACAGGTACTATCGTGAAAATGCAAATTTAAACATGTTCCCAATACCAAAGGGGCTTCAGTTTGTGGAAAATGCCATAACTTTCAACTCCATTTTCTCACCAACTTTGAACCCTCTGGTACGTATGGATCTCACAAGAATCCACCCACACCCTAATTCTTAGTGTTATAAAAGCACCTTGAAGAGATCCCTGTTATTAGGAGTATGATCTTGTTTCTCTGCTCATGAGACCTTTTAACCCAGTGACAATGAAGAATACTACAAGCTCCTGAGTCCCTTTAAAAAGCCCACAGGATTCCAGACCCTGGTTAAATGCTGCCAACACCTGAGTGATGTCCTCAATCAAAACAGGGTGCTGTGTATAAAGGTCAACTTCTTGTTTCAGCAATGATTGGGAGTTGTCATTCCCTACTTGTGTGCACCAGAAAACATGTTCATACGAAGCTGTATTTTTGCCTGACGTGTAGAACTTAAGCGGCTCAATGAGCAATGGCTACATGGAGAAAGCACTCAGAATTCATCATGGGGATGAAGGAGCATTTGCAAAAAGTCTCTCTCACCTTGTGATCTGTTCCTGGATAGCTTCAGTGTTGGCCTCTGCAAAAAGGTACAGCATGGTGCAGCTGAAGTAATGCGTGTGGCTATTTGGGTACCGCAGCTGATTCGCAATTGCGTTCAAAAAGAGGTACCGCCCTAGACATAAAGAAAATGCAACTCAGTGAGACCTCGCTCTGAAGGGCCAACATGGAAAGTTTTAAATGGTGTGGTCTCAGATTTCTGATACGGGCTTGCAATGGAACTGCTCTTAAACCAACGGCTCTCAAACTCTGTGTCGCAGAAGGCCGTCTACCCCATTTTCATTTCCGCTTTCACAACCAATGAAAACTCAGTGATCCTACCCAAGACAGAGGAGAGCCCTCCCACAAGGTTCTGTTCTTGGGCTTCATGGATAAACAGACTGGCTGTCAACCCGATGCTTAACCGAAAGTGCCACCAGGACTCCAAATTTTTTGGGTGGTGGTGGTGGTAGTGGTGGTGCTGGGGACTTAAAGGACCCATATGCTAATCCAAAAACAGTAAGAACTCAAAAACACTGGGCAATGATCCTTTTGCCTTTCACAAAATCGTTAGGTGTTGTTGATTCTGACTCAGTGACTCACTGTACAACAGAACAAACTCCACTGGGTCCTGTGCCAAACTGACAATCGTTTCTATGTTTAAGCCTTGTTTTCAGTGGCTAATTTTTCAGAAGTGAATCGTCCTCCAAGACTAAACATTCTTTTAAGAATCCATAGCGAAGTTAGGAGTAGATGTCTACTGAAGATTTTCTGTGTTATAATCAAGACAATGTGATAGAACACCAAAAGAAAACTCAACCAGGTAACTCAGGACAAGTTATTCTGTGAAATTTTTGTACTCCTACTCATTGATTTTCATACAGTCAGCATTTAATTTGTCTGAGAAGGTCTACCAATAAGTACTAGAAAAAGGCAGACTAACAGCAAAAGCACATAACATAACAAGAGAGTAAAAGAATGTTTTTTTCTACACTCGCGGGAAAAAAATACAATTACACACCAAATGACTAAATAACAGGATTCCAGGCAATTCTTTCCTTTATACTTTTCTGCGTGTATTCTGCATTCAGTTGGTTAACATCCAACTACAGATAGGAATCAAACCAATATAAATGAACAATCTTTCTTCTGACTCAAAACATTTTATATCTTATGGCTAAAAGCACAGAGACAAGACTGAGAATTGGCTGGCTTGACTCACCTTCAGTGTCCAAGTCCACAGCCAGGTTCTGGAAGATATCCATGTGTGCCGAGTGGGTGATGGTGCTCATAGAAGGTGTGCTGCCCTTGTTGTGGATGTGTGCAATAGCCTGAGTCCCTACGTAGAGCACCAGTGCATTGATGAGCTGGAGGTTATAGCGATTGCCAGGCTCATTGGATACCTAAGTGAGCAACACAGAAAACTTCTGATATATTGACTCCCGCAGAGGACAGATTCCTTCCCAACTCTTTTTAAGCCTCCTGACAACTGTGTAGGCAAATCGAGTGTTCTCCACATACTTTGTGGTTTAAAGTTTAGAAACAGAACTGGTATAGCTCCCAGACCAATGCAAGCTGCAGCATCAGAAATGGGTGCCACCACTATGCCTCTCCCACAGCTCTGTGATGTTCACACGGTCAAACATGGCTGGCAGGCTCGCAAGTTTAAAATGACGGAGCAAGGGAGAATATCGTGGCGGCATGGTACGGGAAGGCTGGATAACTTCAAATCATT